CCATCCCCGGCCACGCCGCCGCCTCCACCTCCACTCCACTCCGCCTCCCCCATCCCCATGCCGCCGCCTCCAGAGCTCCACCTCCACGGCCCCTCGCGCGACGGCGTCGAGTGCGGCGGCGGCCGCCGCCTCCACGGCCCCCCGCGCGTCTGGATCTGGCCGCCGCCTCCGCGCCCCCCGCACGGCTTCGAGCGGAGCGGCCTCCATCCCCTCCGCGGCGCCAACTCCGCCAGCTACTTCGCCGGACTCGCCTCCTCCGCCGGATCCGGCATCAAGCGACCCGGTGGGAAGCTCGCCGGCGGCCGCCGCCACCTCCACTCCTCGCCTCCCCCTCCTCTCTGTCGCTTTTGGTGGGCCTCGGGCCGGCCCGACCTGCTAAAAAGGCCGGGCTCATCGGGCCGGCCCGGCACGGAAATTGGCCCGACAGGCCGTGCCTGGGCCGTCGGCCAGGCACGATGGACTGGTGCGGCACGGCCCTGTGGCCCGATGGGCCCTTCCGTGCCGTGCCTAGCATGGGCCCGTCGCCCGGCCGGCCCGTTGGCCATCTATGCCCTGATGGCATGAAGAAGAAGAAGAGAAAGAGGGAAGCAGTGGGTAAGCCGAAGCCCAAGTCCAACTTCCAGGAATATCTTGAGATGGAGATGGGTGGAGCTGTGAGCATGGAGGAGGATCTAGAGATGGAGAGGAAGCTTGAGAAAAAGCTCAAGGTGAAGAAAGGAAAGTTGGGAGGTCCGGATGATGGTATGGATGAACTTTTTGCAGACCTTGGGTTTGGTGGCGACTTTGGTTCAGATGATGAAACAAAAGCATATGATTGGAATGTGGCGGATGACACTAATTTAGACAAGAAAAAAGGTAAAAAGAAAAATAAGAAGGCGAAGAAGGATGACACAGAGATGGAGGAACCAGATGACAGGGGTGAAGAGAATGGTCGGAAAAAGAAGAAGAAGAAGATGAAGAAGGCTGGTATGGAAACGAAGGAACTGGATGATGTGGGTGAAGAGAACGGTCGGAAAAGGAAAAAGAAGATGGAGGATGACTCAGAGATGAACGAACCAGATGACGAAGGTGTTGACATGGATGAAGAGAATGGTGGAGCAGTTCTGGAATCTGAGGATGGAGAGCCTAATGTGGTTGAACTGCCCACAGAATCAAAAGGGAAGTATGTACCTCCGAGTTTGCGTAATGCTTCCAATTCAGAATCAGAAGAAATTGCCCAGATGCGTCGCAGAGTAAGAGGTTTGAGCCTAAATTCTATCTTATATTTACTTGATTGTTGCCACATGTATTTATCATTTTTAGTTTGTGAGTGTATTCCCATGTATGACCTAATGTTTGCTATGCATCAGGACTTCTGAACAGACTTTCAGAGTCAAACGTGGAGTCCATTACTCAGGAAATTGCCACGCTTTTTCGAGTACAACCCTAGACTACAAGATCTCTCATTTCTTCTGATATTTCTCTACCACCTGTCTTTCAGATATTTTTTTGCGGGTCTTGATTAACCATGGGGTACTGTTTTCCGTTTTTTGTTGCTTTATCTACCACAGTCTGTTCCACGAAGTGTTGGCTCTCAGATAATTAGGGATGAGGTTTTGGCTAGTTGTTCCCGAGGACCTCGCGGCAATGAACAGTTAAGGGTCTCTCATCAACCATATAAGTCTTTTCTTTAGACTGATTAAGCACTTAGTGTATTTGTTACAAACCCCATTTTCGTATGAATATGATAGTCTCAGTCTTGTCAGAATTTGATATAGTTTACTACTGCAAAACTAATGCTTTGTTGTTTTTGCAGATATGCTGCTGTGTTTGCAGCCTTTGTTGCAGGCATGGCATGCTTGGTTGGTATTGACTTCAGTGCCAAGATCCTTGCCTCTATTGCTAAGTCGTTTGAGGTATCACTCTTCTTATTACTAAGATAAATATGACTTGTTATGTTCTCTGTATATCTGCTTACCTCGAGGATTCTTGAATTCTTTTGTATGGTGATCCTAATGGATTTTTTTATTGAGCTGATACTATTTGTGTTTCTCTTGTGGCAGGATGAGTACTCAAAAGAAGATGGTCTATCTCTGAGAAATCTTACCTTACTCTTCTGCTATTTGTGTATATTTGGTGTCATCTCAAGGTTTGTGATTCGAATGGAACAGCATAATATGTTTTAAAGCCACATCAATCATAAATTCTCATAATACTGATTAGTGCATCCTGTTGTCCGATATTAACAGCGATCTTGTGTATGATCTTCTGTCGATTCTGAGCAAGCGCTTGACAGAGCTGGATGTCTCTACAGTGTTGACCATCCTACAGTGTATGGTGTTATATCACATTTCAATAGTAACTCAACTGAAACATTTAACCATCATAATAACTATTCATGTTTAGAGTACCGTACCCTCTTTTTCTGTCTCTGAGTGAAGCTGGGAGTTTGCTTTCATCTAAATGGGCAGGCTGTGGAATGAAGCTGAGGGGAGATGATCCAGGTACTATGAAAGATTTTGTCCTTAGTATTCAGAACTCTGTGAATCAGCTTAAATTGCACTCTGGTGTTCGAGAAGATGGGAAGACTGATATACGTAGCAGAAGAGTAAGTTTATGTTGTTCAATGCACCTATTTAAGAAGCATCACTTTCCACGTAGGTTTTTAATTTGTCTGAATGGTTTTCACTTACTGCTCAGATGGAATTTATGCTTGAGACCATATGTGACATTAAGAACAATAAGAAAAGGCCTAAAGAGGATCCTTCACACCATACTCGAATAAAAAAGTGGCTTCAAAAGGTTTGAACCAGAATGACTTGCCCATCATCTGTGTTATGAATTGTGATTTCAGAATGCAGTTAACACTTATTTTATTTTATTTTCCTTTTTTACATATTGACAGCTTAAGGCAGAAGATGTCCTCTTGGGTGGGCTAACATGGAGTAGGCTTTTGGACCCTGATAAGAAAGGGCAATGGTGGTTGTCTGGGGATGTTCCATCCACAGTAGCTAATGTCGAAGATGTTGCAGCTGTTACAAGCAAGGATGTTGTAGAGACACAAAAACTTCTTCAGCTTGCAGCTGCTCAGCGGATGAACACTGACATACGAAGAGCAATCTTTTGTATTATAATGAGTGCTGAAGACTATGTAGATGCTTTTGAGAAGCTCTTGAGGCTGGGCCTTTCTGGGAAGCAGGCATGCATCAATGTTCGATTAGTTGTTGTGCATGTATTTGACAATATTATTGATGTATGCCTTTTCCTGTGCTTGATATGCAGGACCGAGAAATTATAAGGGTCATTGTTGACTGTTGTCTGCATGAGAAGATGTTCAATAAGTATTACACAGTCCTTGCTTCCAAGCTATGCAACCATGAGAAAAATCACAAGTTCAGCTTGCAGGTATATTGTTGTATTTATCATGTTTGGTATTTATATTAAAGCTTGTTTGGCTCAGAAATTACTTTTTCTCAGGTAGCTTATGTGGATTTATTTTACGTGTATCCATTTTTAGGCCACCCCTTTCTGAAATAAACGAATTTAGTATGAATCGACATTCTATTATGATAGCTCAAGACGTCAGTGAATTTCAACTTGTGTTTTTCATATATTTCATATTGGTATGGTGCTAATACCACATTAGCATTGCCAGATGGTAGCTTACATGGACTAATTCGGATTTGGAAAGAATCTTGTCTAGCTATTACTTGTAGTGCTTGCAGCCTTGCTTTCAGCATAGGTGGTGATCAAAGGCTCTCTTTCTGATTATTTGTTTTCTACTTTGTTCAGTACTGCATCTGGGACCATTTTAAGGAGCTAGATAATATGGAGTCAAGTCGATCCATGAACCTTGCAAAACTAGTTGCAGAGATGCTGTCAAACTTCACGCTCTCCCTCGCAACTCTGAAGGTGGTTAACCTGGCCAACCCAGTGGAGATGACTCCAGCAAGGATCTCACATTTCCAGATGCTGTTTGAGACCTTACTACAGAAAGATGACGACGGTGTGGAATGTCTTTACTCGTGTCGCCGGTCTTCCGGAGCTCGAGATATTGAGGGATGGCATTGTGCTGTTCATCAAGCAGCATGTGATGGCCGAGGACACTGGGAAGGACTTGGCTGGCAAACTCAAGATTGCAAAGAAGGCGCTTGACAATACTGCTGGAGTTCTGATGTAGTCTTTGTGGACCATTCTGGGCATCTTTAATCCTCTGTTCTCGTTTTTGCTTGTTCCTTCAGAGAAACAAAGGATGAGCCGTTTCTGTAGAGAACCGTTCTGGTAGATTGATGCCTTGTTATTAGAACGCTTCTCCAAGAGACCTTTCATGGGTTTTGAATGCTTACCAAAAGTTTTGATGATGAGTGGTCATACATTATACCATTTCTTAGATTGGAAATACTTTCTGTTTATTGTTAGCTGCACATGAAGATCCTTCTACGGTATCTGAACTTGAGCTTGCAAATGCCGACATATATTCTGCACATTTCAACAAACACGCCGTGTAGATTGTTTGCCTTGTTGGGCCAGAAACAGATATAATTATCTCACGTGACCCGCACTAACCGAAAAGCCTATAGAGGATAAGAGCTCGCCGCTCACTCTCTAGTCTCTAGGTAGGGGAGGGAAACAAACACCCAAATCAAACCACGCGCGTCGCCAGCCGCAGCAATGGCGTGCGTCGCCGCGCTCTTAGCCTCCCCGGCGCTCCTCCCTTCCCTCCACCGCCTCGTACACGGCCTCGGCCTCCTGCTCGTGCCGCCTCCGCCTCCGCCCGCCGTCGTCGCCCGCGCGCCGCGCCAGCAGCCGCAGGGGCCGGCGCGCGCTCCGGCGCTTTGACGAGGTACCTTGCGTCTCACTACTTTGTCAGTGGCTCTTGCCCGAGGCGCGCGGTGCGACTGCCAGTTGTGCTTCTCCTTCTCTGGAAGGTGCGGCGCCGACTGAAACTTTGCTCCTGTGTTGCCTGTGGGCGTGGGGTGTCCGTGCGCGCAGGTGGAGGGGTGTCGAAGAAGCGGCGCAGCATGGGAGGCGGTAGCGGTGGCGGCGCGGGGGTCGCAGCCGTCGTCGTCGCGCAGAGACAGGGGCTTGCCGTCGATTTCAAGGAGTCCCAGGTCCGAGGCGCATCCATTTTTCTCTGTTTGGTTTACACTTTACAGGCTGCACAGTGCATGCTAGTCTAGAGAATTGAATACTGCTTAACAGCTGTAGTTCCAAATTGAATGAGGGTGCCAATTAGCTTTTTTACATGATGGAGTAGAATCTATCCCAGCCTCTGCATCCAGAGTAGAATCAATGGCAATTAGAGCGAGGATGAATATTTCACTTCATTTCTGCTTCCATGTCAACATGCTTACTGTTGTTTGGCTGGGTGCTTTGGGTTACCCTATACATTGTCGTCTGTGTGGATTGTATGCTGTGGCCTGAGGGTGGGGTGTCGTCTGTTCAAACTATTAATTGCACTTCTCCATTCTGGATTTGAGTCAGTTTGCACTTTCTTTTTGTAAGTTCACCGCCTCAGTTATAAACCATGCTCTCTTCAGTCTGAATGAATCTCTTATGGTGGTTTTATACTCTTTCATCATCTTATGCATGTGCCCATGCACCTGTGAGTGCTAATAAACACACCCATCTTCATCCATGTACATTTCTTCTTCCTCCTTTTCACTGCAATCCACATGTATGCTTGATTAAATGTTGCCCCAAAATCTTACAAACCTTCTCTTATGCTAACTGTGCGGTTACATCAGGTTGCTGACTTTGATGATCTTGAAGAGGACAAATTCCTTAATGCTGTTGTCAAGGTAGGCTTCAAGAATACGTGCCCCTGGCTATTGATAATGCTTACTTTTCCATATTATAGTAGTCTATATTTCATCAAGATATATTCATGTGTGCGCTAAGTACTGCTTTGTCATATTCGTATTGCAACTTCCTTTTCAGTATATTATGTCAAGCACAGGGCTCTAGTTTGCTCAAAGATCTTGTTCTGTTGAGTAAGACTTTGCTTTGTTTTGTGATTAGTCATGTCCTTTTCACCTGAAGTAGTTTCTCTCCTGTTAGGTCTACTGCACTCATATCGCACCCGATTATGGTCTTCCTTGGCAGAAGCAAAGGCAACATTCAAGTAGTGGGAGGTAAGTGTTGAACTGTTGATATAACATGTGTGTATCTGGTTCAATTGCTGATTTTACTTCTTCCATATAAAAATTTCATCTGTTGTGCATTTCTAGGTGGGTGGGGATGTATGCAGGTGTGGAATATAAATTATCATGATGCAATAAGTGATTTCATAATTTTGTAGAGATTAAGTTGCAGCATTTCCGTTCTTGTACTGATTAGACCACTTGCGACTAAGGCTGTAAACATAATGATGTTTTCATTGTGATAGGCATCCTGCTTTAGTCATCAACATGCTAGGGCTTTTGTGATCACATTAGTTGATTTTGGTACCTTTGTTTATCTTATGACAGATATTCTTACCTTACATGTTTTGAAATTTTTGCATATCTTTTGGATGAGGCCACTCATTTTGAAGATTATGATTTTCACATGTCTTGAACTTAGAAGCTCTTTGTGTATCTTACATGACATGTCATTTTACAGTGCTTTTATGATTGGGGATGGCAAACTCTTGACAAATGCACATTGCGTTGAGCACGACACCCAGGTGATTATTCAACTGGGCAGCTTTATCTCTTCATGTTTTTATTTTACTTCGGTTTGTCACTCTCTTTTTCTGTTACTATTTTGATTTAAAATTTTGAGCTACTAGCAGTTGAAGATATCGATGTACCATTAGTTTTTCTATGGATAAGAGTTTAGGAATGTCAGTTAATTTGTTAAGGTAAGGCTGCTTCTCGTTGCAGGTCAAAGTAAAGAGAAGGGGAGATGATAAAAAGTATATTGCCAAGGTAAATCACCTATAGCAATGCTGCTTTCAAGATTTGTCAAAATATCTTTTTTTTTTCTTGAGTGCGCAATCAAAATGTTTATGCAATGAACATTGAAATTCTCTTGAAGTAAGGTAACTATCAGTTTATTGTGAATCTGAATTATCTGAAACAAGATTTGTGCTTAAACCCTGGATCCCTAAGTCTGTCTTCTGTTCATTTTCTTACATCTAATATCCATTGCAAGTCAAATTAGCTTTTCAACCATATTCGACTGTACTGGTGGGACTGGACTATTGGAAGCTCCACCATTGGGACCTGGGAATTATTAAAAGAACCACAATTGTAATTATTTTTCTAATTTTCAATATTACTCTTTTGAGACCAACATTAAAAGTTACCACATATGCTTAGGAATCTTTTGAGCAAGGTATTTGACTATTTTATTTAATTTTATAAAACTTGACTTTGTAAGAAGTCAACTGACAAAGTGATTTACAGGTTTTAGCTAGGGGTACCGAATGTGATCTTGCATTGCTATCTGTTGAGAATGAAGAGTTCTGGAGAGGAACAGAGGCACTTCATTTTGGTCGTTTGCCATGCCTTCAGGTAACCAATTATCGTCATGATGTGTTTACTGGACCTTTAATGATCTGTGTAATGTGAATATTGGGTTTTTACCCTCTCTGGCTAGTCACCACAGGTACAGTTAAACGCTTAAAACTATAGTTCAGGCAACTTTTTGGTAACTTGCAACTGTAACATGTAGTGCTTGTTAATAGCACATGAACACCATAAAAGTTTCTGTCAGAGCTGAAGTCATTATTTGCTCTTGCTTGTTTCTAGTTATATATGAAAAAGTACTTCACATTTACTTCATGCTGTATAACATTGCTCTTATGTTCAAACTTATGACAGGATTCAGTAACTGTTGTGGGGTATCCTCTTGGTGGAGACACTATATCAGTAACAAAAGGCGTTGTATCACGCATTGAGGTGCTATATCTTGGATGCTTCAATTCTCTGTATCTGTCTTTTTCATTTGACTCTTGCCTCAACGAGGAGAAAAGCAATGATATTTCTTGCATGCAGCAGCTGTATAACAACAACAACAACAAAGCCTTTTAGTCCCAAGCAAGTTGGGGTAGGCTAGAGCTGAAACCCAACATGAGCCCCTAGTCACGGTTCAGGATGCAGTAGCTGTATCATTTCTCCAAAATGTTACACCTGATCCCATGCTCCTTTTTAGTTGTCCAGTGCATGTTGGTAGGATTAAGAACAAATTATGCTATGTTTCATTGATTCCTGACTTCCTGTGATCAGTTCTGACTTCTGAGTTCATTTGTTTGGGAGACTGGTCCATCGTTTTTTATTCTCCAGTCATATACTGCTGTCGTCTTCTATATCTGGTTAGGTGTAGCCATAATCATCTTGGTCTTCAATTCTCAAATAGTTACTATTTTCCAAAAAGAATGAAATAAAAAAGTGACTAGTTGTCAAATGACTTATTTTTTCTGCGTTGAACTTGTATGCAGAAAGATAGCCCAAATACAACATTGCTTTAGATACATTGAGAAAGCGAAGCACTGTTCTGAAAATGTTCTCTAATAATTATATTTGATATATATTCAACCGAATGATTGAACTTACACTGTTTCCTTTGGAATAGCCCAGGTCACTCCATATGCACATGGGACATCAGATCTTCTTGGCATTCAAATTGACGCAGCCATAAATCCTGGTTTGTCCTTTGCATCCGCCTTAAAAAAAGGCTCACTAGTCTGCTATTTGCTATACGATGATATTTAGAGCATTGACCTATCTTCGTCCTTACCAGAATTCCTGGAAATGATGAGCTGATTTGTTGTCCTGGTCTTTTGTCTAGGAAACAGTGGGGGACCAGCCTTTAATGAACAAGGGGAGTGCATTGGTATGGCATTTCAGGTACTTTTACTCGGTCACATTACTGGTACCTGGACAACTTGTGGTTTTGGACATAATTGATGGACAACCCAGTATATCTGAACAGATTAAAAACATAGGTAGATCTATATTTTAAAATCAAATAGCTACTCAACTTTCAGAAACATGCATAGTTCTGGATTTTGATATGCTCTGGTAATGATCACTCTATATAAACTTGAATTGGTATTTACCTTGCTTATGGATCAGAATCACATGCGTTCATTTTTCATTGTCTTCTTTGAGGGTACTTTTATGCTTTAGATCAGGGTATGCAATATATTGCTTCCACCAGTTACAAATACTTGCCACTTTGACAGTTTTTGATGGATAAGTCTCTGTGCTGCTTTGTGGGGCTGTTGGCTGTACTGCTGCCACAAGGAGGGGACTGCTGTTGCTGCCAAGTGCCAAGGACAGCACAACACCCTTGACTAGCATCTTAGCATCTAGGACTAGCATCTAGGACAGCATCTTAGAGGACAGCATATTAGGACAGCATATTAGCATCTTAGACTAGCATCTTAGACTAGCATCTTGGCATATGCTTGGCTGCCTAGCAGCTATAAATATGTAACCCCAACCCCTCAGGTTGGTATGGCATTTGTGTGAGCTTGTGTGAGAAATAGACAAGAAAATTGCCCCAACTCCTAGTGTCATCCTCTCTCGATGAGAGTAAGGAGCTTGTGTGAGAAATAGACAAGAAAATTGCCCCAACTCCTAGTGTCATCCTCTCTCGATGAGAGTAAAAATTCTCCTACTACCAAGAGTGAGAATTCAGCGACTAACAACTGGTATCAGAGCCGTATTATCCTGTAGCCTGAGCATCTCTTGCTCATCTTCTCTCTCCCCACAACACAACCCCCCCAATGTTGTTGGCGGCAAGCAGCTCCTCCGGCCGCTCCCTGTTCACTCCTCTCCTAGCTCATCTGGCAGCCCTCCTCCCCCGCAGCAGCCCCCCCCCGAGGCGGCGTCATGTCCGCAGGCGATCTCGGCCTTCGGTCGCCTCGAAAGCACGCGACGTCGGCGGAGAGGCCGAACTTGCCGCGGCAGAGGAACGCGAGCGAGCGGCGGCAGAGACCGCTGCGGTGGCGGCAAGCGTCGAGCTAGCATGCAATGGCGGAGGCGGCAAGAACAGGCGGAGCGGCGGGGCGGCGGCGAATGCAATCGCGTCTGTGGCGGCGGCGGAGGTCGAGGTTTCTGCTGCGGCAGCATCAGCGCAGCCCATTTCGGCACGACACCGCCGACGCGGACTCGAGTCGCTGCTAGAGAGAGGCAAGCGACGAGCGCGGCGGCGCGATGGATACCCAGCGCCGCGTCCACGAGCGTGGCGGCGGCCCGAACAGACAGCGCGGACGCTACCGGCGGCGCTCTGGAGGAGCGCGCCGCGGCGGTGGCGCTCTGGCAGCCAGCCAAGACGCCTGCGCCGCGCGCGGCGGCGGCCCAGACAGCGCGGACGCGCGGGTGGCGCTCTGGAGGCGCGCCACGACAGCAGATGGCGGGCGACGGTCGATGGAGAGCGCGGCCTTCCACAGCGGCGTGGCTCTCTCTCCGGATCGGTACCGACGGGTCGATGGAGAGCGCGGCCTTCACAGGCAAAGACATGGCTCTCTCCCCGGATCGGCACCGTGGGTTACCACGGCTCCAGTGTCGTTGTCGGGGACGTCGGTCCCGGCGGTGGTGGCCTACCCTCATCAAGACCAACTACGTCGAGTGGGTTGCGGTGATGAGGGTAAAGCTCCAGGTGCGGCACATGTGGGAGGCAGTCCGATACGGCGACGTCGACTACGACCTAGATCGACGGGCGCTGGATGCCCTCATCAGCTGCAGATCCGCCCGAGATGCGATTCGCTTACCGACCAAGCGGATCGCCAAGGAGGCTTGGGACGCCATCGCCGCATTGCAAGACGACGCGGCGGCGGCGATCGCGCCGCAAGTCCACACCGCAGCGCCGCGCAGAGTGAGTGGGAGAACACAGCCTTCAAGCCGGTGTGGACGTTGATGACTTTGCTCTCCGTCTCAACACTCATTGCGAAGAAGATGGTGCGATTCGGCGGCGACACCCTACGGTGAGGAGAGAGCTGTCGAAAAGCTCTTCCGCTGCGTCCCAGAAGTACAAGCGGATGGCTCGCTCGATCGAAGTCGCTTTGGATCTCTCCGACATGTGTCGATCGAGGAGGCGATAGGTCGCCTCAAGGTCGCCGATAGTGATGAGCCACGATCCTCTCTCGGGGCCATCACCATCGGCGGAAGCTCCTTCTCACTCGGGAGCGATGGCTTGCCGGCCTGTGGTGACCGGAGGAAGAGCCTTCTTCCGCGACAGCGGCCATAAGCGTGGCAAGCCGCGCAAAGCGTCTGAAGACGCCAGTGTCGGGCGCGAGGACGTCGTCGAGGGTGATGCCCGCGAGGCGCCAGGCGGCGCCGCCGGCAGCACAAGCCTGGACGAGACGAGGCGACACTGCCGCAATCGCGCGCCGGCTTAACCATTGGGCCAAGGGCTCGTCGATAACCACGACGCGGCCCGTGCCCACGTCGCCTGACAAAGTGAGGAGGAGGAGCGGCTCTGTTCATGGCACATGCCAACGATCGAGCTACCTCCGGCAAGCACACCGCCGCGGCAGCTCTCTCCTCCACCTTGACGAGCCAAAAGCACACGCCCTCCTCGGCGGCGGCCCGCAAACGACAAGATCGACGGGTGGTGCCTCGACACCGGCGCCACCCATCACATGACCGGTCGACGGGAGTTCTTCACCGAGCTTGACTCTAGCGTCCGAGGCTCCGTTAAGTTTGGGGATGCCTCCGGCGTGGAGATCAAGGGCGTCGGCTCCATCATCTTCACCGCCGTGTCTGGTGAGCACAGGCTGCTCACCGGAGTCTACTACATCCCCGCGTTGAGGAACTCCATCATCAGCTTGGGACAGCTGGATGAGAACGGTTCGCGCGTGGTGGTTGAGGACGGAGTCATGAGGATTTGGGATCGTTGCCGTCGCCTTCTTGCCAAGGTATCCAGAAGCGCAAATCGACTCTACGTCCTTAACGTGCAGGTGGCACAACCCCTCTGTCTCGCTGCTCGTCGGGACGACGAGGCGTGGCAATGTCACTCAACATTGCATAGGACAACAAAATTTTTGTAGTTGTGATTTTTGGTGTGTGGATTTTTGGGTTGTTACAGTCCTACCCCCTTAACAGAATCTCGTCCCCGAGATTAAAGCGTAACGTACTCTTCGAAGAGGTAAGGATATCATAGCCGGAGGTCAGACTCTTTCTCCCACGTTGCTTCTCTCTCAGTGTGGTTGCTCCATTAGATCTTGCACATAGGAATAGTTTTGCTTTGGGTCTCTTTGGTATCTCTGCCCAGAATTCTGATAGGATGTTCTCTATACTCGAGAGTATCTTGAATGTCAAGTGTATCAGTCGGAACTACTTCATCGGGCACTCTCAAACACTTGCGTAGCTGTGAGACATGGAATATGGGGTGTACTCCTGCCAATTCCTCAGGTAGCTCAAGTTCATAGGCGAGCTTTCCAATCTTCTTGCAAATCTTGTATGGGCCAACAAATCTAGGGGCAAGCTTTCCTTTCACATGGAATCTGACAGTTCCACGTAGCGGGGATACCTTGAGATGGACGTAATCTCCCACATTGAACTTTAGTTCTCTTCTCCTTTTGTCAGCATAGCTCTTGTATCGACTTTGAGCAATTCTCAAATTCTCTCTTACTTGAGCAACTCCTTCTTTGGCATCTTGAATCTTAGCGGAGTCAAAGAACGATCTTTCTCCCGGTTGAGACCACATCAAAGGTGTCTTACAAGGTCTGCCATACAGAGCTTCAAATGGCAACATCTTGATGCTGGCTTCGTAATTGTTGTAAGAGAATTATGCATAGGGTAAGCATTTCTCCCAATCAGAGCCATAATTTAGTACACTAGCACGAAGCATGTCTTCTAAGATCTGATTCACTCATTCTGTCTATCCATCTGTCTGTGGGTGATAAGCGGTACTGAAATCAAGTTTGGTTCCAATGGACTTGTGTAGAGCTTCCCAAAATTGGGATACAAACTGAGGACCACGATCTGATACAATACTAGAGGGAGCTCCATGCAGTCTGAGAATATGCTCAATATATAGATCTGCTAATTTTTCTGCATTGGTCTTGGTCTTAACAGGTACAAAGTGAGCAATCTTGGTCAAACGATCTACAATCACCCAGATGGAATCATTGCCTTTCTGTGAACGGGGCAATCCAACTATGAAATCCATGGATATGCTCTCCCATTTCCACTCGGGAACGTCAAGAGGCTTTAGCAATCCTGCAGGCCTTTGATGTTCAGCCTTGACTCTATATAGGTGTCACATCATGCCACATGTCCTGCAATGTCTGTCTTCATGCCTTTCCACCAAAAGTGTTTCTTCAAGTCTTGATACATTTTTGAACCCCCAGGGTGAATACAATACTTAGAATC